TACCGTCCCAATCTGTTTAATGACTAAACAAAAATTGAAAATTCAAAAATTGAATAGGGTGTTTTCCAATGCAATGCTAAAGTAGTTTTAAGTCCCTGAAATGTTGCCTCACGCATCAGGGACCATTTGATTTTCACCTTCCCCCTCCCTTTTTTGAAACTCTGAAGGGTTCCTGCGTGACACAGAACAGCTGAAGATATAATGTGCTGAAAAAGGACTCCATATATTTTCCTAGAAAGACAACTGTGTTGTCACAAGGGGCTATCTGTACAGACACTATGGATTTCATCAGTCTGGCTAACAGAAAGCAATGGTGAAGAATACAGTATTAGCAGATCCACGGCGTTTCAGATAGACAGGAAAGATGGAAGAGGTGGAGATATATAACACTACACGTGAAGATCATTCAGACAAGAGAGATGTAACCTAAAAGCATCAAGGGTGTCAGATTCAGTCTGAATGTTTCTGATTGAAGAAAAAAATATTCAAAATGTATAGTATTAGAAGTGTGCTATAGAACATAGGAGGTCATTCAGCCCATCTAGCTCAGCTGTTTTTTAGAAGCTAAGCGGTCCAAGGATCTCATCCAGCAAGCCTGAAAGAGTTTGACACTCTTTTGAGCCTGGGAAGTAGAATAATCTTTGTCTCTCAGGTAGCCACACAAGCTAAATTCACCATAGCAACAGACGTTGAAATGTTAAAAAAAAAACTAACCTGCAGTTGAGTCTTTCCTAATCAAGTAGAAAAAATCAAATCCTATATTATTGACCTCCAGACCCTCTGGGTTTGCATTCTCCAATGGTTCCGCAGTGATCTAAGGAAATATAACATTTGTTTTATATACAACATATTAATGTGGATTATAAATCTGAAGGAAAATGACTGCAGTTAATAAAATTATTTGCCTTGGACTTTCTAGTACTGAAAGTGGTTTAACCTTCCATCTTAATGCATTCTCCCCTCTTCTTTGTGTGTATAGCTGCCATTTTTTCCTCCTTTTGGGGATTGTGTGGATATGGTCGACACATCAACTCCATCACAGAATGTAATCCGAAGATACAGAATCAAATACAAGGTAGGTATTAATAAATGACCATCACCATATTTTATCTCTTTCTTTTGAACCTTACAGTAACAGTCTTATCCACACACCTTTATAGTGTCTACTGTACAATTTGAGTATGTTAACATAAAGGTTTAATGTTGTTTTGCCAGAAGATAGCTTTTCAAAGACATAATAGTTCTCAAATCTTCAATCCTTAATACCTGCAGGACTCCAAGCTTTAGACAAAGGGTTTGTTTTTCAGTAAGCTGGAGATTTACATAACCATTAACCATCTATTGAAGATCATCTGGACTGTAGCTGACAGCATGTGGGAGATAAAAGATATAAAAGAGATAACCCACAACACTGTGCTTTAGCTCAAACTTGAAATTTCTATAGTAAAATATTATAACATTCATAATAAGAGAACTACTGTGACACACTGAAAGTGTCTGTTATTTTCGGCTCTCTAAATGCCACAGGAATGTCATCTGTAAAATGGGTGATGTGTAGGAAATCATTAACCTGAACTTTTGAATAATTAGTCTATCTTAAATTTTAACTGTTCACCCCATAATTTTGAGGAGCAGTTTTATTAAATTCAAAAACTGTAAAGTAAATTAAAAATTCAGATGATACTTCTAAACGTTTTTTCATTTTAGATTTTATTTGTGCATATGCTGTGCTATCTCTTTGACTACGTAAGATTATACTATATTAAAAAAACCTTTGCACTGCTAAATGTTAGATAGTCCACAAATACAAAACATTTTTAAAACTGTAAAGGTAATTGATACATTAATCATATTCTATCTGTAAACGTTTTTTGCTAGAAATGTCAAACCAGCAAAAGTGATTTATTTGGACTCTGAACTCATACAGAAAGTTTTGCTGGTTTCAGGAGACAACACAATGTCTGGTTTCTTAATGTGTAGTCTAGCACTGTATATGCAATGTGATTTTAGATGATTATGGGGAAAAAAGGTTTACAGAAAATGGCCTTGAAATTGAAAATGTTTCAGAGTGTGTTCCGCCCCTATATGCATCTACATCTGTAAAACATTTTTTTCCACATATGAGAGTCTGGCTGTTATTCAGACCTCCATTTTCATGCTAAAGGAACCCCATATCTTTAAACATCTTACAATTTATTAGTTCAGGTGGGTAGCTGCGTCAGCATGCGTAGGCTGCAAAGGAACAAGTAATAGGTTTATTCCATGCTGAAAAAAAGTAGAAAGAGAACACAACGTTTCGGCCGTGGAGCCTTCTTTAGGTGTGAGAGAGACAGGGCAGTAGGCAAAGGTAAAGTCTTACAATTTATTATTACAATTTATTAGTCTGAGCCTTGGTTTGTACTTTTTTCACTTTTTTTCCTTAACTACTCAAATACCATTATAACATCTGAATATGATATTTTTCTAAGCAGAAATTACAAAGTACATAGCATGACACATACCAGCAGAACTGTAGCAGAGTCAAATTTATTTTTAGAGAGAAGAAGTGAAACTACTTTTTTGATAACTTTGAAAAAACAGTTACATTTACTTATTACTAAAAGCACTTCTTAAGTAATATATTCATTTTGGCAAGCAAGTTATCATTTTCAAAATTCTGCATTTTTTCTAATTGGTCATGAAACCTATCTCCTTTGATATTAGGTATCCTTTTCAAAGCATTTAATTCAGAATGCGTATTGCAAATATTAACTACACTGGCATGCACTGGGAAACAACACTGGCATGAAAACATGCTGTTTAGAATTAAAGGAAGAGTATTAGATGATAGGTAATAGTACATAATTACTACTAGCATATTACAATGTGGTATAATACCATATTACTAGAGCAATAGCAGGAAGACGAAAAGTATAATCAGAAAAAGAGGAGAATTAAACAGTTTTTATTCTTTGCCCAGGGTTGCCAAAATTCCTAATTAATAATCATTAGCACCGATTTCATTTTGATTCATACCTTTATTTATGCAAAGTATGTTATACTATGAGTATACATACTCACAGTATAGCGTGAGTACACAGTATACAGTATTTTGCCAGAGACTCCAGTGAGTTGTTAATGGCAAGCACCTCAGAGGAACCATACTCTCTATAACATGATATTTTTTTCATGGCTTCTGAGAACACTGCAGATACTTAATGAAATGTGTGATATGAGAATGAAATGTGCTAATTGTCATTGCTGCACCCCTGCATTACACATACTCTATTTTTTCACACTTCACAGCCACACATTAATTTTGAAATGTGACAGCCCTCTTTTACCAGTAAACCACAGACAGGATATTCAATTCCCAGAAGCATGGTGCTACCAAGAGATAACTTAGCACCTGTAAACAGTAGTTTTCTCGACTCCACAACTTTCACACCAGGAGATTGCCATTCACAACATTGTCGTCTTCAATGTCATTTTGGCGCCTGCTATTAGAATTTAACATTTACACTAGTATTCTGTGCTAAAGGCATAGTCGAGGGTAGAAAAACATGTTAAATCTTGGTAAAAGTATGTGAAATTATACTGACGCATAGGAAGGTATGATATCACCTATGGAAAACCATGGCAAAGTGATGTCAAAGCATAGAAAAACCACTATGCAAATTTACAGTGGTTATTTTTCATAAGTGAAGAAATGATATGACTGTTAACTTACAGGAATATGGTAAAATGAAGCTTTAATCTGTGTTGCTGATCCTAAATGTTCTGAGAATGCTGAGGAGAGTGCCAAAGTAGTAAATTAGTGCTTACAGCTGAGGTACAACTTCCTATCATGTGGTATTCCTCACATTCACAGAGGTCCCCTAAAGGTAACCCAGTGTGGTTATATGAGGTGTTGGTTCACACTGCTATGGTGTTGCCTGAAAACATCCCCAGGGTTTATCATACAAAACCTATAGATAAGGATGCAAAAAAGCTCTAAAAATACTGAAAATAATACAATGCAGGTAAATGGGTTTCTATATAAAATTTCCTGGTTTCATCCACCAAAAACAACTTTTTAATGGATAAAGGTGATGGTCGAGCTTTGAAATAAAAGCATTTTAAATATGGTCCTACATTAATAACCATCTAAACAATCATGAACAATTATTTCTGTGTTAGTTTTAGGGCTTTTAGGACATTTGAACTGGCTTGTAGATTGGCAAAGATTTAAAGTCCCAAAGATCATTGTGCAGAATCTATTCAGTTTGCTCATGTAGGTCATAGCTAAATCATAACTGACTTAATTGTAGCTTTAATCAAATTTTGCTAGATTTTTGTTATAAACAACATTCATGTAATAAAAGCCCCCCCCCCATACACACATACTGTATGCACATAAAATAGTAAGTAAAAAATATTTTAATCCTTTGCTTTGAAGCCTGTGACAGGTACTGTAGACATATAGCTTTGAAGGGCTTTTTAAAATCATGATGATTAAAGAAAAAAAGTTCAAATGTGGAAGATAAATTGCAGGAGGTCAGTAGGTTTCTGCATAAAGAAAGCATTAAACTTGTCTGATAATTTGAAGGGCTGTGATTGGATGCTGCTTTATAATGTTATGCAATGTTTTTTCCCCTACTCTTATTGCCTTTCTTATATTCTCCATTGTTTGAGAATCGTATTCCTCAGATTCAGTGCCCCAGCTGTTCATTTCAAGAGTTTTCTCTAAATATCTAAGTAAAGTTGCTTCTTCTGTACTTTTTAAACAATTAAGTTGTTTTTTCAATCTCCTTTGTGTGAGTTCTGGCTTTTGCATATTTAAAATAGATAAAATACATTTTGCAAATCATATTTACAGTTTTGGACACCAGTGCGTTCTTAAAATAGCAAAAAAAACACTAACATTCTTTTCACAGGAACATGCATAACATAGCCAGCCCTGCCCCTTTCTGTCCTTCTGTGTGTATGTATACAAGTGCGGCTTTTTACTGCACTTTTTTCTTTCTTTCGATTTACTCAGCTAAAGTCATTCGTAGCCAACAAGACGAAGAGCCTATTGGAAAGAGGCAGTGCTGGAGTTTGTACAGTGTGACATCTTCACAATGTGACAGAAAAAAAGCTGATAATGAAACATCCTGCTTTAATGAGATTGCTTTGTGTGGAGATAGGTAAGTCACTTCCATTATTCAACTTATGCTGTTTAACTTGGAAAATAAGTAAAGCCAGGAGCAGTAAAGTTTAGACTTGACTTGAAAGTAATGCCAGCATAGGTCTGGGACTTGAACATTAAAATTAACTTGGTAGCAGAGGGCTTCAAAGTAAATTTAGAAATAAATCAGTTCTACTTCTTATATGAGGCATTTTACATCACCGAAGCAATTGAATATATGTTTTTAAAACTTAGTCTGTCAGTCCATTTTCTAAACCGCTTTTTCCAGGAGTTGCAAGCTGTGAAAGCAGATAAATATCTCCTCATGCAAATCATATAAGGAAATAATTAAGGATGTAATTTAAATATAACTAAATAAAACACTTGACTAAATAAATGTGAAGTAAACTTAGACAACTGTGACTTGCTTTTCTATTTTTTTTCCATTCAGGTATTGTTTGTGCTGGTTTCTTTGTCTCTGTGCAATGTCAGACATTTAAAGGTGTGTTTTATCTTTTTCTCTATATAATTCCCATTACTCTTTGGATATAAGAACTGCCTTTGGTAATTTAAACAGTTAATATACAGTATTTGTACAGTTGTCAGATAATTGAGGCATATTTGGTGTGCTTACATTTAATTTACTTTACTTTACACCTTTTACTTGCCCAGTACACATCAGTCGTGCATGTTATATCACCAGGCTTTTTTTTAGTACTTTTGACCAGTTTCTGCAAAATAGTTTGAATTGGGCAATTGTAGATATGAGTTATTTTAAATAATAATATATTCATTGGGTTTCACATTGATTTTGCTCAATATACTGTAATTACTTATACATACCATATTTAAGTATGTACTGTATAAATAAAACTCTACTCTGTATGTCCTGCTATAAAAAGCTTTGTGATTGTAGATGTGTTGTGGCAGAGAAAACAAATCCCATAATTTCTTGTAGTTTATGATCTTTATTTCTTGATTAACCAGAAATACTAATACTAGCGTCAGACTGAAAATGGATCGCAGAGTAACAGATCGCTCAGCTCTGTTACTCTGTAAAAAAAGTTAGAATGCAAAAAGTAAGAATGTATTGATGTTGGGTCTTTTTTTTCGTCTTAGCAATGAGTTTACATAGATTCTGGTGCCACACGAAAATAACCTTAGCTTTTAAATTCTACTCTATAGCATAATTGACTTACCTTGTGCAGTCCACCTTTAAGCAATATGGCATGCCCTTTCTTCTTTTTTGAAATCCAGAATCATAGATTATATGTTTTACGCCCCCTCACTCTCCCACACAGAAGTTGTCATTTCCAATTGTAGCACATTTCTAAACCACTGCAAACAGCACAGAAGACTGGAGTATAATGTTCTGCACATGCATCTCTGGAAAGGTGCAGTCTCATGCTTTTACCACACACTGACCAACAAAGCACCAACAGTAGAGCTGAGGCATCGGACAGTGTTCCAGAGGGACAGATCAATTTCTTTCCAATGATACTGCCGTGTCACAGTTGCCATTAGGTTGCAGTTGAAAGCCAAGGAAACCGAGACTAGAATTAGGGATCTCTGGACCATATGATTCTGTTTGCAAACTATGCAATCTTTGCAAACAAGTGCCTGTATTTGTTGTGCCTCTTTGAAGCCTACAACTTTGTTTTTTCTAAGTTTGCAGAAGCTGAGCTGGAGAGCGTGTCACGTACAGTAGTTTTGGTAAATCATACCAGAATGTATATTTGAAGACCACTTTAAATGCCACAGGCTCAACTGTTTTTTTTTTCTTGTCTATTAGGGGTTGATGTTAAACTTTGATGTTTTATTTTTTTTTAAGTTTGTAGATTGGCATTGAAACAAAATTGTATAATTTATGTGATGAACTGTAATAATATGGAGAATGCAACGTTTAACACATTAAGGTATTTTTGGAAAAAGAACGTTTTAAATTTTCATCACTAATTGCAATTTTATTGCAAGGCATCTGTTTTATATTGAACCAATTTTTAAATTAGTGGAACTTCACTGAGATGCCTCCAAAGTCATGCCTTTAAATCATGTGTGCAAACAACTACTCAGGCAGAGTTGAATAAATAAATTAAATTTGAGTATAAAAAAGTCATTGAGGATAATTATAACTGCAAAAGGGTAATAGTAAATGCAAAAGTAGTGCAATGAGGTATCTAATTGTTTCAAATGTGAGTAGATTGAAAGATTGAAAGCACACAGCTGTATTTTACATTCAACATTCACATTGATCATATTGTGATTAAGTCTGTGACTTAAGTCCATAGTGGCACAAAGATCAGCTCCGCTCACAACTAAAATATCTGTGCTGCTCACACAGTGCATTGTCTGTTTTTAGTGCAGATCGCAAGCAAAGTTGTTTGTGATTTCATTAGGTTACATCACAAAACATCCCCAGAATATGACATTTAAGCATGCTTACAAATGATTGAAAGCACTCTTTAAGAATGTGAGAAATTGCAACAAAGAGTTTGAAGTAAAACAGCAAAAATTACAGCATTTTGTATATCCATTATATCTTAAAAATGTCATTTTTTTTTCTCAGACCTTTAATGTGTTTCTTTTTTATTTGCAGAGAACAATGTTACCTCTTGTTTTAATTATCATCACTGCCAGTCTTCTCAAAGTAAGTCTTTTGGTCTCCCATAAGAAATAAGTTTTGTTTTTGTTTCATTGTTACGATGTTTTTTAGTAAAATGGCATTTTCAGATTGTCGCTTCTGGTATAATTTACAAACGTTTACCTGTCCCCCCTCAAAACAACAATTCTCACCCAGGTTAGAGATGCCTTGCTTTAGATTTAACATAATTGCAGACACATTTTCATTGTTTATTTATTTTATATGCATCATCAGGTTCTCATATTAATGGTGTTCCACTTCAAAGAGCACATTAAGAGTCAAACTAAAATAAAACAATAGTTGCAATTATAATACAATAATTTTTTTTCGGTATAATTTTTATAATTTATATTCTCACCACTGCAGATATTCATACTATGCGGAAGTATAGAGAAGTATAGAGAATCTCTTTTGTAGTAGCAGCCAATGCCTTGATATTTTTGTACTAAAGAACAAAATCAAATAATGCAATAAATATGATATGATGGAATTCTTTAAAAAAAAATTTAAATCTTTCAGCTGCAAGCTACAGTATCACATTTTAAGACTTTTGGCCCTTATGATGACAACATTTAGGAATCTAAAACTGTATTTAATTTAAGGAAATTTGCATGATTAGTACTTTCATAAAGACGATTCGGTCAGTTCAGTTCAAGCCACAGAGTTTCTGAAAACATAGGCTGCTTATGCATTTCGGTATTAGCCAGCTCTGAATACTGAATAATGGGGAAAGTATATCTGTTGGCTAAATGATGTCATAAGTGAAGCTCAAAGGAAAACAAAAACTATCACTACAACCGCAGTGTTCAAATACTTTTTTAATGGATTCAGTTATCAGACAAGGTATAAAATGGTGATATTTAACAGAAGTTTGAGAGGTGGTCAAATTCTAATCTCGGACTTGCACTCTCCTATGAATAAGTGCTCATGGGTTGCACAATATATTGCACACTTTGATGCTTTTTCTAGCACCCCCTTGCTCCACCACAACTTCACCTTTGGAGCTGCCTCCCTGATTTATTATTGTATTGATTATATTGTGGTCTTAATTTGTTGGTATTAGCATTTGACCAAATTAATTAAATATAAATTGCAGCACAATATCAGTCCTTTGACAAGATGTTTTTTTCATTACTGCATTGTAATTTGGTTACATTTGGCTACTTTCCTTCAGGAAAGTAGAATCACTTTTATTTTGGATGAAGCATAGAGTTTAAACTAAAAAGCATCAAGTGCTGCACTAATGGGACACTAATGGGAGACTTTTTTATTACCCTGTTCATTACAAATACAGACCTCATATCTCCTGATTCAAGGAGCATTTGTCTGCTTTACTATGGATGTAACCGTAACAAGTTAAATCAATTATTGGAATCAGTGTTTGAAGCAGGCACTTCTATTTTATATCACTCTTTACCACTTCAGTGTTTGCGATTAGAGTCGTGGTGGTGTAAATTGTAGACACAAAGAGATGCCTATCATAGAGATATCATCTATACAAAGAAGGTAGTATATTTTGCAATTTGATTGATTTAACCACATCCTATTCTTTTTATTTTTAAAAAACAGAGCTTGCTCTCAGTCATCACGCATTGTGTTGATCATAGATTTTGTGGATTCAGTTGTGTTATCTGTTCAGGGGAAATGTAATAACTGCCATCCTGTGAATTGATGGAGGGACTGAGAGAGAAACAGTATGGTGTGGGTAGTTTTACGAAACGTCTTCTGGACATATCGCAGAAACCGAAGTGCTGAGCCAAAGTGAATACAGAAAGACAGGGAGCCATGGGTTGGGATGCTAGTAAACAAACTCCCATGAGTGTTTCCACTAAGCAGAGCCCCTTTCTGCATTGTGAACTTACAGATGTTAGGCCTACCATTTGTTTCCTTCTCCAGGCAACATAAATAATAATACAATTGTATTTCTATCATTTTTATACATTTCTAGGTTTCTAGGTGCTTTTCCAGCAACCCAAAGCATTGAAGAATTGTGAGGTCTTGCCTACCCAACTTGTCAAAGCTCTTAGAAAAAGCACCGACATATTGGATACACAAACAGCATACGAAATGCTGTTTAGATTTTCAGAAGGCTTTTGATAAAGCTCCTCATTAAAGCCTAAATCCTACAAGTTGTAGGCATTCAGGAAACGTCATGTAATTTGGATTGACAATTGATGAATAAATAGATGAAAGAAAATACAGATCAGAAGTGAGGTTCAAATCAGGGTAATGTTATTACATGTTATTATAAAGATCTGTATGGGGACCACTAACCTTCCTAATTTAAATCAGTAATGTATATTCGGGTATAATTAGTAAACTAATCAGATTTGCAGATGATATGAGATTAGGAGGATTGGCAAATACTGGAGAAGAAGTATATAGCATTCCAAAAGCTCTAGATAAAATTCAAGACTGAGCAAAGACCTTGGTAGATGATATTCAATGAAGGCAAGAACAGGGTTTCACATGAGCAAAAACATAATAAATACAAAATGGGAAACATACACAGGTGTTAATGTTGACACACCATTTTCATTGTGTAGAAAATGAGGGGAAACAATTATGAAGGCAAGCAAAACATTAGGGTACATAGTTAAAACCAAATAACTTAACTTAAAGGGCCCTTATGCTAGGTGTGTATAATGCTGTGCAACTGTATAAGGCCTTGTGTAGAATATCATGTACAATTTTGGTGTACTGATTTATTTTACAGTTGCAGTTGATCAATTAACTACTAGCTACGAAAATGGCTAGTTGGGCAAAATGGCCTCCTCTCAAGTGTAACTCTTCATATGTACTACAATGCATGTATTATACACTTAACAGAAATACAATGCAAGAAAGCACAGAAAAAACAATAAAACCAAGAGCCATGTAAAATTTAATTGTATATGTTTTACGTGTAAATATCACATGTAATACATTTTTCATAAGAATAAAAGAGAAACCCAAGTCCATAATGGTAAATCTGCTACTGCTGGTAATTTATTTAGCCAATGTGAAGTACTGTACCTTGCTTAATGGTACAGCACCAGCACCATTGTCTCACATGGTATTGGCACCCACAACCTTCCAGACGCATCTAGAACCATATTCTAGAGTCTCTTAGCAGTTAAATCCCCAACACAGAACTTGGAGTGCTATTACATTTAAAACAGCTAAGATTTATGAGACTTCCTGTTAGTCAAACAGAAGCCAGAACAAATAAAGGATAGTACTAGTGATCCCTAAAAATATTCCATGTGTTCCAGTAAAATTACATGATTGACAGTATCAGAAGGTGATATTAAGTGATCCTGAGTCAAGAGCTCATCATATGCAAGATTATAATTAAGATTATAATTATGGGATGGACAGTGGCATCTTAATTATAATCTTGCATATGATTATAATCTCATATCCAAGATTATAATTAAGATGCCACTGTCCATCCCATAATTATAATATATATAAGACGGAAATTAGACCTATTAATAAGTATCTTAAGCATCCAGGCTAGATTTCTTCACAGATATGTGAGATCGGACAGATTGAAGGCTACAGCTGTAAATCTATATTTTCGTGATTCATTGAGCAGATGGACAGAGATGGACAGGTCTTGAGTAGGGCCATTGATATAGGATTCAAAACACAGGTAGTACCTGTAGGTCTCATTTTAGCCACATAACTCCCTCTGAACCAGATGCCAGCCTGCATTTACTTGGAACCTGTAATATACTGTATTTTGTCACAGTAATAAAACTAGAACTCTGGCATTTATAATATATATAATTGGTCTAATCTGAGATCCAGCTACCATATTCACCTCCACTACGCATTCCACGTGCTGGCCATGTGTAGATGTTCCACTTATTGGATTTAACTCCTCCTGTCCTTTGTGCAATTCTGTTAAATCATGTTAAATCATGAGCTTTCTTTTTTCCTAAATGAATATGACCACAACATAATTTCCTGTTGTGCAGACGTACATTTCTGTACTTCAGCTCTTAGTATGAATGTTTTTTAGAGATTGCATTCAGTTTGTGACGTCACTTTTTTGCTGGCTTTCCTTAAGTGTGAGCAAAGAAATATTACACTGGGTGCCCGGTGACTCACTGTACATTTAAACAAATAATGTATATTACTTATTATCAACAATTATTTACAGGAATTTCCTGATAGCTGGGGTTTGAGCTTTCCTGCTGCAAATTGTTTGGCTACAGTTTTTAAATGTCTGTTGGTAATGAGAACCCAGACTAACACAGGAAAACATGGTGATATTAATAAAATGTTTTGTAAAACTACTTCAGCGTAACACTTTTATCCTCTTGTTAAGTTTCTCTGAAGAGGACCTCTGCACCTTTGGCATTTACAGATACAGTATATGTGTTTCATCTATATTACCCTTTTCCATTTTTCCCAAGATGAACCAAGATGTTTTTGGTTTGTTTTTATGTGTTGAAATTAAAATACCAGATGTGGCAATTATCTTTGAAATCTGTTACCACCCATTTTTTTCCTTTCTCACTTGCCCTTTAACAAAATACAGGTTAGACAGATGTAGAACACATTGTAAAATGTTTGATTGTAATTCAAGTGTACTGTACAGAATGTATACTGCCTTGTGTCTCTGCCTGTTGCTTGCTGGGATAGGCTCTGGCTCCCTGTGACCATGTATTGGATGACGAATGGATAGATTGACTGATAATTGAAGACAAAGACATTGAAGGTTAACTTAACCCAGATAGCTGAAGATTAAAGAGAGAGAAGTTTAGAAGATATAGTTTCTAAGGTGGAAATGGAGGAGAGGATGGCAGCAAGAGAGAGGGGCTTGTTGATTATTTATAGTTTTTATTTTCAGGAAATGATGTCATGGAGAATTAGTGTGAGTTAGAGTAGCAGAGGAAGTTCAGGGAGAAATTTGGTTGCCACCATCCCTGCCATACTTTTGTTAGTGACCCCATTTATTCATGAATTTCTTTAAGAGTTTTAAAATGTAATACAGTATATATGTCAAACTAAAAAAACAATATGTAGGTCAGTGCTTATTTGAATACTCAGAATGGAACAAAACCCTGAAGACAAAGACACTCCAGGAACTGAGTCTGATGTCCCTAACTTAAACAAAGCAGAAACCACCAGTGAAAGAGCTGAATGACTCAGTGAAAAGTACTGTGTTAGCTATTATTGATAAACACAAGAAAACAAGAACTTCTGCAGTTATTTTCAGGCATTGAGGACTAACATTTTTAGAAAATATGTAAGGAAAACTATTTGGTCAGTGTGACAAAATCCACAGATTACTGCAAACATACAGTATGTATTACCCATTGAATATTTGAAGAAACCTGTTAATTTCTTTACACAAATAATGGGGCTAGATAGGGCTCACAGCAGGATTGATAGAAGAGAGAAAGATGTATCTTGTCCAGGTGTTAAACATGACTTCTATTTATATGTTGTTTGTCTTCCTTAGAAAAGAAAGACCAGTGACGTCTGTGAAAAATAAAATAAAAAACATGTTCCCAGTGCTAGAAGGCTTGTCGAGAAGCTCTCGGGTCACTTTAGAACTAAAAGTAAGGGGTGGGAATTTTGATGACAAATCTCTGAACGAGCATCTCGCCATCACCCTGAAGATATTACCAGAAGCATATTACCTGATACCTCCAAATGAGGTATTGACCATCCCTAACAACAAAGCCAATTGCCCAGACTTGGTCATACAGTATGAGACTGTTGGTGCAACAAGGAGTGTGAAGTTGATGGCAAAACTCAAGGCAGTTATATTCTGAATAAAAAGCAAAAAGCACAAATATCACCAGGTAGATGACAGGAAATATTGCAGATTCAAAAGACTCCCATGTTTAATGGAATAAAAGGGTAGGTACTATAGGAAGTATGAAGAGTATGAAGTTAATGTTAGCATTTTTCTATTTTATGCATGCTATGTAATATGTTGTTGTTTTATTATAAAGTTGCTGTAGTTTGTGCCTTGCAAAAACAAAGTCTGAATCTGTAGGCATTAGTGTGGTTTGTGCTTTTTCAATTTTTTTAAAATGCCTAAATACTTTAATACTGTGGTCTGCAAAATTACTATATGTTATGCAGCACTTGATGACAAGTATTTGAAAATGTCCAACTCCTTTAATTTTTTTAATTCTGTTTAATTTCAATTTTCTTTGCATGCAATGGAATTAAAATTATTTTGTTCCTGTTGCAAAGTTTGAAATTCAAAATCCAAATACTTAGATTTCCAAGATTAATCTGAAAAGTCTAAATAGTACAGTTCTTTAAGCTGGGTAGTACTGTATTTGATTTTTTTTTTCACTGTACTATTTCAGCCTTTCGCATTGCATCAGGATTAAGTTTATTTGGTCATATTTCTAAGGAATTGAACTACTGATTAACTTTGAATTAAGATTTACATGATAAAAACAAACTAAAATATTAGAACATACTGTAACACAAAAAGCTAACGAACAAAGGGCCATTTAACAAGAAAAGGCCATTTTAGTGTGTCTAGCTCATTTGATTGTAAGTAATCTATCTGTTTATTACACGTCAGCCATGGTGATGCAGTGTTTAGAATTGCTGCCTTGCAACACTGGGGTCCTGGGTGCAATTCTGCACCCATGGTGTTATCTACATGGAGTTTGTATGTTCTCCTGTATTTGCATTGGTTTCCTCTCATAGGCAAGAAACATATAGGTGATTGATAGGTGAACCTGAAATTCACTACTTTTGCTTTGTGCACAATTACAACATCAAGCAATTATAGGGACTTTTAGGACCCCTTTTTCTTCTAATACATCTTCTTTTTATCACCTAGAACCACCAATGGATCCACAAACTAGACAGTTGACACATATAATATTCCATTTTATTTCAGTGCTTCAGTCTTCCCATTACACAAATGTAACCACATAGGACAGCAATTCCAATGCTGCCCACCCAATGTACAAAACATTTGACATGATTTACTCATAGAGCAGTCTATGAACCTCAGTATCCAGAACCGAAAGCCCCCAGTGAACAGATTGGCTTTGCTGTTCTCCGGAACCAACTCTGGTCGCGCCTCCTTATACCTTATAAGGTGCTTATAGAGGCACTGGCCATTCAATGCCCACTTAAGATCAATCAGCTCCAGACACCATTCATCCCACACTAGTTGTTTTTTTTTTTTATTCTGTGACACATACTGGTAGGTTAATTGGCTTCTTGGAAAATTGGCCCTGATGTGAGTGTAGGCCCGTCTGTGTCTGTGTCTGCCCTGTGATGGACTGGAGTCACGTCCAGGATGTACCCTGCTTTGCGCCCATTGTTTGCCAACATAGGCTTTTTGGCTGCCCCACAACTTTGAATTGGATGAAGCGGTTAGAAAATGTCACAAGAGACATTTTCCCTGTGACAAGAGAATTGTTTCCAGACTATACAAACCTTTGTTTAAAGAACTATCTTCTATTTGCAGTATTCTTATTTTCAATTGTGTCCCTGTGTCCGACCTGTTTTAATCTACAATTTTGATTAATTATGAATTTAAAATCTGTTCTCCACAGCAATAATTATTCAAAAAATCCACACAAATAAAAATTAGTTCACTTTTTATTATGTTCTTAATAACTTCGCTGTGCTATATTTAATGCAAACAATTATGCAATATGCAATTAATTGAAAATAAAAGAAATTAATGCACAACTTCAAAAAAAAAGTGTGTCGATGGTTAATTTGTGGTTTTTAAAAATAAGTGTATGTTTGTCCATTGTCTATTGCTCAGCAGTTTTGTTTGATTTGCTCCGTGTTAACCAAACCGCCGTGCTATGTTCGTCACCATACATGGGTTTTGCACGAGCAGCCAGAAGTTCCATACAAGCCCTTTGGCCAAAAAGAGTTTGAGTGCATAAAATGCACATGTTAAGGCATGTCAAAATCAGAGTGATGAGCTGCACATTTTACATTAATATTGTATATGCAGAGGAGAAACAGTGAAACCACTGGAACAATATGGATTTAACAATCCACCATGATGGAAGGGACAGAAAAATATTCTATTCACATTTAGAGATTTTATGTGCTTACTGAAGTGCCCATTCTTTGCTTTACTTGTTGAAATCCTTAATAGCCATTAACAATGCTTCCAACTTAAAAATTCAGATTGTTACTCTTCTATGTTGTCTGCAATGTGATAATGATACTACTAGTAATAATAAATAATTCTTTATGACCCAAGAGACAGGTTAACATTGGTGAGTCACAAGTTAGAACACGTCTAACTAGTTCCAATAATGCTCTTAACTTTATTCCGAAATTGTAACAATAAAGTAATGGATGCCTTGTTTGGTGAAAAAGTATCATTGTTAATTTTCATTTTTTGCATGAACTATAACAAAAATACAACATGAATCAGAAAGGACTTCAGCTGTTTGATAAAACCAAGAAAAGGGTACTTAAGTCTTACTGTAATCAATCCAAACATTTTTAAAGGACTTACTGTGGACTAAAATACTGAAATACCTGTTTTATTTGTCTAATGAACTAGTCATGCCAAATGGTTGTTTAAACAACAAGCCAATATCTTCTACAGGAATAACACTATGGAAGTTCGTATATCTACTTTAATTGTAGCATAAAATTATATCACTACTACTATGATGACCATGAAAAATAATAGTACTGGCAGTAATAAGATTGAGAATAAAGGTACACTAATGCTACTTCTCAGGGTAAAGTACAGAAAGTGAGACCAAGACTGAGCAACTTATTCCAGTACTCAAAATCCTCAAAGGTGTTGAAGTCAACTCAGTGGACTTTTTCATAGTGAAATACAAACTAGAGTACACAGGGGAAATGAACAAAGACATTTCAGGAGTCTTGAATAACTTACATAGCAGCATTGTTGAACAGCTTGTTGAGATCCTTAGATGACTTAATGCCCAGTAAGCAAAGAGCTAAGGTGCTCCTCTCCACTCTGACCTATGTTATTGTCTAATGTAGATGCTACCGTCATTTTTTTTAAAGTGTTAAGTTAGAGTAACCAATTACAATGTTTTGTTCTAGCAGCTCAAAACTTCATCAAGACTGTCAAGGCTGAGGTGAAACAATGTGTAACTAATATTCCAAGTAGTTTGATGGAAACCCTATGCAGAAACTTTAAAGAAAAAAGTCTCTCAGAAGTATATTTATCTGTTTATTTTCTACAGATGGAGTCCAAGACTTAGACTGTTTCAAAAAATCAAAAAAAGATCCTTTGACTTGCTACTGGAAATCTGGGTCCAGTGCTTCAAACATTACAACGTACACACTCATAATTGCACAGTAAGTTCTGGAAGTACTTTGTTTTATTTTATCTACACCAGGAGAAACCACATTTGTTTGAAGATACATTCAGACAATGAGGTTTTTCATGATCTATATTTAATCAGAGTTGCACAATGTTGTAATGTAATGTCCAGTAATCCATTCCTGAGAATTATATGCTTTCTGAACAGCAAACAACACACTGCAAAATATCGTTGTGTATCCAGAGTACAGAATTCCCCGAGCATGGTAGAAATGAAGAACTGTGTTAGTCATGTTTGATAGACCATTGAAATGTTCTGCACTGCTGCCTCTGTTGATTGCTATTTCTTCTTTTAGATACTCTATGTACAGGATATAAGTCTATGTGAATTCTTTTGTTAAAGACAGAAATACAAATTCAATTCACAATTATGAGCAAATATGGTAAATGAGTACTGTTCTCTTTTTACTTTTTAATTTTTGTGCTAAAGTTTCCTAATATCATTGCATGTTTAATCATATTTGTATAACCCTAAATACATCACTTAAAAGACTTACTTGTAGTTTGACTAAAGCATAAAACACTGTAGTGCCTTACTTTTTTTAGCATTCTACAGTGTGTTCAGTTAATAATTTCTATAAATGTAACTATGACTCTTTAATTACATTGACTATTTTGTTTTTATGTTTAAATAATTGTGTATTTCATGATTGTCTTTCCAAGGGAGGTCAGAGATTACTGTAAAATACACCACAACATTTCTAAAACATTCCATTCCATTGAAGTTTTTGGTAAATATGAAATGAATGCTTGGGTAATAGACGAAAGCTCACGAAACAGAAATTGTTCAAAAACCTTTTTCAGGGGCATTCCTAACAATCTGAGTAAGTCACATTTATTTTTCGTTGATTGATTAATTGCTTGATTGAACCCATTAATATAAAGAAGAAATACTGTACTGTATTTACTTTTTAGAAAGATTTACATATCATTGCCCATTCAAAGATAAGAAATATTCTCATTGTTTCTGAGAACATTTTCAGGTATTTGCAGCCACTTGGAAAAAGTTTAAAATTGTAGCAACATAAAACTAAGTTATTACTAAACATTTTAAATCCAGAATGCTTAAAATTTATTAAGTATTTATCTACAGTCTTTTTCTACATCTCTGAAATATAAACAAGTAACAAAGGACACACAGGTATCAGACTTGTACTGCATAACAAATGGTAAGTATAGAGTATATTTTCTTTGTCTCTGTTTCAGTTCGTTGTGATCCACCTACAGAAATAATGTTTAAACGAGATAGTGGAAAGATTTATATATCTTGGATGGAACAAAAACACATTAAGAAGTACAATATCCAGCTTAGAGAATCTGGCCATCCATCTTGGAAAATGGTAAGAATAAAATAATTCTTGAGTTTCATGTGAATATTAATAGGCTCTTGTTGCATATTCCTACACATAACTCAGTTATTTAATATATTGAAGGGACGCAAAGGAACAAGTAAAGGTTTATTCCATGCTGAAAAGATTAGAAAAGAAACACAACATGTTGGCTGTGGAGCCTTCTTTGGGTGTGCCATATTGAATTGATAGCATATTGATACCTTTTGATCCTAACAGAACATTAAATGATCAAGTGAAAAAATCTATATTTGTTGATTCTACACTGACTTTTAAATACGCAGGTGAAATCTACATTCTGTATTAAGGTGTCCTCATTTCATCATTGCAATATTACCATTAGACTTTAACATACTTTGACTAAGGTTGATAAACCGATCTACATATTTGTTGCACTTAGAATTGATAACTGTAATGGTCTTGTTGCTGATTTACCTTAAAATCTCTTTAAAATATGCTATTTCAATTTTAGTTACAAAGCATGACTGTTAAGTTAAATATGTCTCATGAGCATGTAAAATCAATTTGGACTCATTTTACTTTGTTATGTTTTAATACTTGTTTATAAAGCATTCAATGAAGTACTGTAGATGCTTTTGATGACTTCAAAACTGAGAGAGCTTGAGCTATTAAATGTTTCTCTGTTTTTTTTTTTTTTTAAACTTGCTATAGCCTGACAGGTATCACTTAAAAGAGAAAGAAAACTGTGAAAACCATAGACTTTGATCTGTTCTAGTTTTCTCATGCTCTAGATTTAGAACTGGATTGACTGAACTAGGCTTGGAAAATCGCTGACGTACACTGTAGAGCATTATCACTATTGAGTATTAAACATATTTGAAAGTCATAATACTCCATCTGGACTTTGGTATAAGAACAAACAATTCTTGCTATCATCTTTTGTGAATCTGGTAAAAAAGGCGATTTCTGAAATCAGACTATTTTAATGGCATTGTCAAGGGCAAAAGAAAGCTCTCCATAAAGGGAACATTTTCTAGCTAATTTTGATGCCCTTGGCTGTAGTCAAGGGAGGTCTTATATCTGACACATTCATGCCTGCAGTACACCGCTCTTTTCCATTCACCTCACTCTACAGGCTACAGTATGTGGCTGATATGGTAGTTCCTGGAAACAGATGTATTTAGAAGTACATTTGGGTTCTACTACTGATGATTTTAGACAGGGGTTGTACATGTAAATAAGTCTCTCATAAGAGAAATAACATTGACAAGCTTGGATGATCACTATGCTCAGGAGAGTTGTAGCACGTGTTCTGTTCCTTGATAGATATACTTTACAGTATGTGCATATATGGCTACATATACTGTGTGTATTCATATGAGTATGCAACATGAAGCCACAGCCACTTGCCCAGGTATTGAAGTTGCAAAGATTTAAATATTAGTAATATTCTGAAAACCATGTATCCCCGTGTGTTTTAACCCAATGAGACCTTTGTCAGTTCCCAACTAGAATGATGTGCCCTCAAATATTTTGTAATACCTCTTGACGTTTCTACAGTAGAAGCCTGGTTTATGGTTTAAATTAAAGCTAAACAATGTTTTCAAGATTTAAATATACAATTAAGAAAAAAGACTTTTTTCTTCATAAAAATAGTGATGCCAATTTTTCTCCTGTTCTTGGCATCTGTCCATTGAGCTGGAATGTGTTTCTTTGCAGGTGGTTTCCGAAGAGAATGCCAAATACATGTTATTTGAAGGGCTCAATCCCTCACTCTCCTATGAAGTTCAGGTGCAGTGCACACCAAACCAAAAGTGTCCTCAGTGTTCATGGAGTGAAATGTTTCTTGTGCCTGCAGGTGTGTTGCAAGCAGTATATTTTGCATAAGTATAAGTGCAAAATCTGTTCTTCCTTTTCTATTAAAAAATGGGCATTAAGTGAAAATGTGATTTCAATTATAACAAACATTATAAAGGATGGAAACATTATCATGTCAAGAAGTTCTCAGAGATGATTCCCTCCTTATGTGCTGTATTATCATTATTCATTTTAAGATCTTTCAAGTGCAGTAATGCTTTAATCATCATGCTGCATAAATAATTTTCAGGATTATCACTACCTGCTTCATTGTGACCAAATTGTAAAAGTCACTTGACTTTGTTGTCTAGATTTGCTGAAGGCAGAAACACATAATTTATCACAACCCATTTCTATTTCTAACAAGATGTACAATATGCATATGCATAATTTATGATATGTGTATTGATAGAAATAGAAATGGGTTGTGATGGAGTTTGGCACAAAAAATAAAACATTTTCCTCACCAAGAATATAGGTTGTGCAAAACATAAGAAATCATTTTGAAAGTACAGCTTATGCAATTACAGATTTTAGAACAGAATAGATATACAGTAGCTGTCACGGACGTCCAAAGGGACTAACCGTGGGGAGCAGGAGAGCAGAAAAAGACCCATATGCGTAGCGGCGAGACGGGAAAAAGGCCCGGGCTCATTAGTGCAAAGAGTTCAGGAATGCCGTATAGAAACCGATGCCCTCAGGGAGCGGACGTGGGGCACCCTGGTGCTAGGCGGGTCTCAGGACATCCGAACGTCAATGCTGAGCGAGGACAGAGAGCAAGACCCGGAAATATATAGCCCAAGGGAAAGAGAGGGACAGGAAGGACAGCAGACTGGAAACTAGGGACAAGACAGAGAAGGAGCGCCCTCTGGCTGCAGAGGGCATGACAGTAGCCCTATCTAATTAACAGTGGTGTTTTTAACCATTGTCAAATACTTTTCCTATCAACCACACAACAAATTCACAAGTTTCTAAACAAAGCTGTGTAGATAAGGGACCTCTGCCACTCTTTTCTGAGCATCAAATTTGACAAGAAGTTGCATTAGAAATGTTCAAATACGAAGCACAATTTTCAATGAGAATAGCTCTCATGGTTTAAGTTCTAATCTGTTTTGTTTTTCATTGGGTTTCCTTTAAATGTCTCTGTGATTGTAATACTGCACTCCATGGACAGGAGTTCAGATTTCTCTTTTTGCCAGTTAAAGTAATTAGCAATCAGTCAGCAGTTATGATGCTGTGGATCTTCAGCCACCACATTGTTTTTTAATTTAATGAAATGTTTTTCCATACATTCAGCATGGTTTTCCGGGTAGTACGCAGATAGATAATTCATAGAGCACAAAGTATACAGCCCACCCATATCCATCAGGGAAGGCTCAGCTTCTAAAATTTCATAATTTATTTTTCAGCATTAACACTTTCATTTGGAGAAATGTGACATTAGTTTGTCTACTGACATTAGGTAAAATACAGTTCCCTAGAAATGTATTTGTGTCCTTGGGAGTTAAAGGCACATGCCAAAGTATTTTAGCATTAGTAGAATGTGCAAAAAAGTAATATAATGTATTTAGATACTGTTTCTGTTAAAACGTTCATACAGATATGTAGAAATACATTTGGTTTTTACAAACAAATTTAAAATAGAAGTCACAAATGGAGTTTTTAGCAGCAATCCTGATCTCATCTACTTCCTCACCTACTTCACTTTCTGAACTTCCCTTTTCCACATCTCTCTCACACTGTCCAACATCTTTTCAACACCCTTGCTGCAGCTCCCTGTCTCATTCCTGGTGAAAGTGAGGGGGGGGGGGAGTTCAGTCAGCCTCATCCTTACAGTTAGACTGCCATTCCCTCAGCTAGGCAAGCTACAAAAAAAAAACGGTTCGTCTCTATTAATCAGGCTCTGAACGAACTTCTGAAATCAGGGTTGTTTAACTCTGGCCTCTGCAAGTTTTCAAGGTCTCTTTAAAGCAACAGTCCTTGAAGAGCTAGGAGGAACTGTTAAATTGGTCCTGTTAATCCAGTAACCAGGATAACCAAAAGCTGAGTTAAAATGAAAAACCACAGGCACACCAGCCCCACAGGACTAGGATCTGCTGTAAATGCCTGCTAGAGAGGTTCTACAGGGAGGATTGGTCAGAAATATCTCCGGATCAGAACGTGGACTTTTGAAAACGGTATAGGATTGAGATTATCAAACCTGAATAAAAATGTGATTTTTAAAAAATAACTGAATTCATTTGTACATGATATATTTGTGATAGATATGCAGTACTGACAGTCAAACATTTTGAAAACAACTGAAAATAATTTAAAGGAGGGGGTATACAACAGTAAAATACATACAGCCCTACAATATTTTACAAATGTGTCATCTCCTGTTGCCAGTGTGTTGGTACAGGAGTTAAGCACATTTAAGGTGATCTTTCACATGATTTGTTCTGCTGAAGCCTTTCATTGACTCCAATCCGCTTGCTTCTGTAAAAATAACTTTTACAGATGTCACTCACATTGAGTAGTTTACTTAAATCTAATTTACAGCCTCTAAAAATGTCATTAAAATCCTTTACGAATGTCACATTGTCACATACTACTCACATCTCACATAAACATCAAGTTTATTAACAGTTTTATTGAACAACTTCTGATTTCAGGTTTCAGCTTCTGTGTCCTCACCGCTACCCTCCATCAGCAGCTAGAAAACATTTTCCCTTTTTCAGCTGAATGTTATTAGTAAATTGTGTAAAAACTACTCTATATAGGTGGTAAATATGGAGATGTGAGAAATGCTGTAATAGGGACTTTCATCTGTTATCAAATAGCTGCTTATTCCTAGTGAGTGAGCACTAATGTGGAGCCTGTCTCAGGTGTGCAGAGATGTGGTTTCCACGCCCTGGACCTGAGGGAACACACTGTCTGCTGGTTTTCATTTCAGCTGAGCTCTAAATGTGTCAGTTTATGACCTAATTGATCTTCTTGCTTGTTTAGACATTTAACTTGTTTATTGTCATGAGTGTCACAGTTACTATTTTCAACAACTTCAACAAACAGAACTTTACAGTGACGCTCCTCAAATTGCTTTCCATTATTTCTGACTACACATCTCTTACTAATTGATCAATCTATGATGATCAGACACCCATAGAAATGATACTGTATCAGAGGCTCACATAATGAACAGAGGCTTACTGTATATTTCAGGAAATATACTGTACCTAAAAGAGGGCAGTTCTGAAACTCAGAAATTGGTTCAGGTTGATAATAATTCCAAATTCCAAGTTATATTTGACTGAAAGCAAATTTACAAATTGAAATTGTCATGGGTGCATCTGAATAGTATGGAATGTGCCATTTTGGCATATATTTCTAACTAAGCTTTTAAATATTTTAAAATAGAGTTTCCAATTATTTCATTTTTATAAGTCAATGTCTAGTAGTAATTTTCAAGTCCTCCAACTACGAATCAGTCAGGGAGAAATATGTTTTACCTTTTAATTTAGATTTAAAATCGAAAAATATAACATCTCCCTAATGGATTTGAGAAATATTATTTCTCTGCAATATAGTTTGAATATGCATAGCAGTTCTTTAATGACATTATTTTTTCAAATGTTATTACAGTTTCAATAGTTTTCCTTTTTTGCAATATTTCCTTTTTGCAGAGTTGACAAAGAAGCCAGTTATTGTAAAATTTCAAACTTATCCAGTGAAAAGAGGACAACGATCATTCTTCATAAACTGGACGGTATTTAATGAACTGAATATTCTTGAAAAGGATTTAGTAGAAATATGCTGCCACTTGAGTCTGTAACACACTTTGTTTTACAGGTTTTATCAAAGAAAAAACATATATAAATATATGTATAACATATTTATATAATATATAAAAAAAATATATTTTTAAAAAATCTTTTCTCATTTTACTTAAGGCACACAAAAAATTAAGAGCAACATTTTTTATTGAAAGGCTTCAAAACATTTTAAAACATGGATTTAAATTCCTTTTTGTTTTGTAACTAAGATCTAGTACCTCTATTTGTATTTTAGAAACAATATAGTTATTTAATCTAAACTATTCCATGTTGTTCATATCCTACATGTTTCAATTCTCACATTTATACAATTTTCTAGTTTGCCCAAAATGCGACTGTGGATGGTTATACTGTGACTGTAAGAAAGGAATCAAGAGAGTTCAATCAGATTTTAAACACTACACTCCCAGAACTGTATCTGACTCTCTCTGGATCATCTTATCTGGTCAGCGTGATGGCTTTCAACAGTGCTGGAAGTTCTCCACAAGCCGAAAGAAAACTACCAGCACTTCAAAACATTGGTAAATTACAGTCAACTAATAAAATTCTTGTATTATAAGAATGTTATTCTACTAATAACATTTCTTCTGAACTAAATTTCGTTTTGCAGTCGTAGCCTCAAGTTCCAAAATCCAGTTCACTTAATGTTTTCTATTTGCATTTAAACTCAATAAAAAAGCAGATCTTTATCTCTCTAAAATTTAAATCTAGCTTAATATCTAAAAATGTCAGAATGTTTAATTAAATTTATAATTGTTTACTTTTAACGGGATTATATTTGATGGGCAGAAAACATACTGTTTTTCTTTTAAAAATACTTCCGTTTAAAACATCAGTGCACGAATTTAGTATATAAATATATAAGTAAAGGTAAATTAGGTATATTCCAAGATGTAGATTACATCTTACCTATACATACTCAGCACTCAACTAAGTAAATCTTACATTTGTTATCATCTTCAATTTTAGACATTGCACTCCCTAGTGAAATTACTCTTTGTTTTTATTAATGCTGATGTCTGTATGCTTTAATTATGTATTTTCAGACTTACTTGATCAGATAAATGTAACTGCAGCATTCAACAAGAGTTTCATCATTTCCTGGGATCCCAAAATGAAATATTCTTACAGATGCTATTCTATTGAATGGGGTCTGGTCAATCAAACATTGTCACATATAACATTTTATCTAGCGAATGAAAACAGTCGTGAAATAAAAGGTACAGTATATCTTTCTTTTGCATATGTAAAACACTAATTGTATTATGACTGTCAAGTGTAGTGTATAGTTAGGAAATGTAGGTTATTTCAGCATCTGCTCCTTATCATTTCAGGATATTATTTATTTTTTTCAATTCTAAGTGTATTATAGATGTGTAGTGACAAACATAAAAGAAAATGCTTTCCACATTACCAGCGCATCGGTCAGAATCAATAGCAAACTATAAAAGGAGAATTTGTAGTATCTCTTGATCTGTGTCTCAATTCCTGTTAAAACGACACTGAGAGTATCCTTACATAATCACTTTAAAAACATATCTCTGTGTTCGGTTCATAATGCAGATCATTTCGAACCCTTCAAGAGATACCAGTTCATTCTACATATAAGACCCTATAAAGACACATGTAACTTGAGGCATGTGAATAACAGCGAGACAACGTACGCAATGGCAGAAGCCTACATCTCTGAAGGACGTAAGCCAATTTATATTTTTTTTAATTACACATGAGCTCTTTAGTGCCATGATTCATTAGAAAATAAATTTTGTTTCTTTTTTGTTTCTGGCTCAATTTTGTAGGACCTGTAAGTGCCCCCAATGGAACCTATCACAATGTTACAAAACATTCAGCTTTGATTGAATGGACTACAGTCCCTGACGAAGACTTACGTGGATTTCTCCAGGGCTACGTCATTCACTATGGAGTCAACTACCAGGAAGACGCTATCTCAAGTAATTTAAAAACGTAAACATACAGCAATGTTAACATTCAGTTTCTGTCAGAGTGCTGATCTTGTTTGACCAAAAATTCAGAAACAGATTTTTTTAGACTGGCATTGAACTAATCCAGCATCACATGCTTCAGATTTTTTTTTACACATTTGTATTCCTTTCTCTTTCCTTTTGGCCTTCACTTTTCACCTTTGGTACATTGTAGAGATGGAAAGGTGTAGTTTTATTAGAACTTGTATCCTTGTTTGTGGTTGTACAATATTTAACACATAAAGACATAGTAAAGTATCTACAAACCCATTCTTTTGCAGGTAGGTTGATACACATTTTCAATAATTCAATTGAAAAGTTGTTAACTGAGAAGCTATCAGATTATTCATAGGAATGCCTTGGTCTCATTAATGACAATTAGCCTGGTCTCTAGAATTGTCTCTTAATACAGCCCTTCCGATCTCTTGTATGAATATATTATAATCAGCTGCCTCAATCAGTTTCCCAGATTGGATTTGAAAGCGCTTAGATGAACCTGTTATGTTCTTGTGTTTGTGTCTTTATTTTTGTAACATGGCATTTCCAATTACTGGTTGTACCTACCTGATCAATGATGTACCTACATAACAATGATGTAATGGTTGATGTGTTACATTTTGCATGCTCTACAATGACATGCAATAGATGAATGGTTAGTCATAAGGCTTTATTCTCTTGTAAAATGAATGAAAACCATGTTTTCTCTCCTTCCCTCTAGGAATCACTGTTAATTCTTCCACAAACACCTACAAGTTATCTAACCTAACAAGAAATACTGTATACAAAGTACAGGTGTCTGCTTTAACAAATGCTGGAGAAGGAAAGAAAAGTCACTTTATTATTTTTAAAACACAACAATACGGTAATTTGTTTTTAAAATTTCAGGGTGCAGAGAAATGAAACAAATTTGATTTACATGACTGAATCACATGTCACAATAAATAACACTTATAATGAATTTATGGCTTTTTAAAATATTTTAAGTATATATTGTTCTTATTGAGACTTTATACAGCTGTATTAACACAGTGGAACTATGGCAAATAATAGTAAAATATTCACAAAGGTACAGTAATGCATAATTTGCAGGGTACTGTAAATCTGTACATACTTTTTCAAAATGTAGGGAAAAAGTTGGAAACTTGATTTGTGGCAAAAATGCTGAAAAGAAGGATATTAGAAATTAAAATATGACCTGGGATGCATACTTTTGTTTTTGTCTGCAGATCCTCTAACAATATCCTTGTTTGTTTTCGGCACGCTCATTGGAATAATATTGGGATTGTTTGCTGTAGTTTGCACATGTTCCAAAGCCCTTAAATGGTAAGGAGACAAACCCTGCAGTTACATGTGTTTTCATGTTTTTTATAATGACATTCTCCTTCACATTGGGTTAAAAGAAAACACTTATATTTATATTAATCTATAATCCTGTTTTTTTCTTAAAGAAAATATATTCTTCATTATCTTACCCCTTTTCAAGTTTGTCACAGGCAGAGTTTGGAGGAAGAGTTGTTCTTCCTCAACACACTTTATTTATTTTAATGTACTACATGTATAATATTACAGATTTCCTTAATCTTTTTCTGTTCCTTTTTTTAAAAACAGACAACAAAACCTGGTGACCTAGAGGAAAACATACAGCAATGTCAACCTTGTTCTTACATTTATTTCCAAATTATTAATGTTGTTGTATGATATGATCTTCTACACAGGTTCTTCACTGCTAATTCTTTCTTGAGTTGACATTACAGATTGTGTCAAAATATTTCACCTAGTGAGCTAAATAATGGGACAATTCTGTTCCGAATTAGATAAAGTGTACCAAACAGGGATTTTTGTTATTCTAATATTACATATTACTCTAGTATCGATGGAATTCCTCAAATGGATAACTAAAAGTGCCGGTGGTGTGAATATAAACACCAAGACATGAGCAATCTGACACAAAGCAAAACAAAAACACCTTTTGGGGTCATACACAACTGGTTTAAGTACAATCTTATTGTAACACTTAAGTTTCACATGGGCACCCTCGCCGGTGCCACATCAGGTCGGCCCCCCACCATCAGGGACTCAAACCCAGGCCTCCAGTATCTCTCAGCAGGGACCCAGCCTCTTGAGCCAAAGGGAAATCTCCTGTCAGCCTGGCGGCTGCGGTCCCTG